TTGATTATTTGTTGTAATTGTTGCTTTTTTCATATTGATAAAAGCAAACAGAGACAGATAGGAAGCGCTGGAGGAGAGAGAGAGAGGATGACATGTAATAAAAGGTCCCGGCTGGAACAGAATTAGGGACGTTGCAATCATGTGGTATGTTATCCACTAGGCCAGTGATTCCCAGCCAGGAGTACTTATACCCCAGGGGGCACTTTTGCAGTTGCCAATGCGTACTTGGAAAGATTGAAGAGAAGCTCAACTAATTTGTGTGTTTACAGTATATCCACTTACTGAGCCAGCTGTAACACTTCAACACTAATGTTACATAGAGCAAGCAGAGAAGGGAATAAATGGTTGAGATGGCTAGTTAATTATCAACTCACTGCATTTCAACTATTTATCTATAACTATTAATAGTAATGCCTAAATGGTTGAAATTGTACACTTTACAATAAGGGACACAACATTTTGAGTATTTACAAATGAGGAACGAATCAGGAACAACTCAAGTCAAAGACAAGTAGTTCCCTAATAATTCCTAATGAGGACTAATAGACTAATAGATAATGAGAACAGACTGGGATATCCTATATTAATCAATCATTAGCTAATGATTAGTTCATTATAATCTGTGAAACAATCATACTGACCTTTCTTCATGAGTCATTCCTGATTAACTCTGAACCAGCCAGTGATTCTTTATTAATTACCTAAACATTAGTTGCTGTTTTTGTGCACCCCAGGTGAAATGATACATTATACTGAGTAGTTAGGCCACTAAGTAGTCCCTCATTACTTCATCATTACTTACTCTATTTGTGGCCCCTAAGTCAAAGGCTGATTATTCTTCTGTTTGTTGCTTCTATAATTCTCACAACTATGTTTGCTTCAGTCAGCCAATCATGACCAAAGTAACATAATAGATACATGCATGAGTGACAAACAGACGCTGTGATACACGGAACATATGGGTGGACAGGAGGGAAGTTAGTTATGCTGCAGGAGAGATTGGACTTTTTCAAATTTTTACTGTCTGTCAAATCCTGCCGTACTCCATGAAGGAGCAAACTATAAACTGGAGTATTCCTTCAATCATTTTCCCATTGCACCTTTGTTTCAGTCAGCACCAAACTGTTTCTGATCTACTGCTGGTATACTTCACCTCCTTATGTGGCAGCTCAACAGAAACAGGCCTGGAAGCTGTTTGGTTTCTTGAACCTGTAAATAATTTACAGTATACAGGAGAGGAGGTGTAGGAGTTTGAACAGTCCTATAGGTGCTGTACCTGAGAGAGGGGAACTCGGAGAGACAGACAGACTTGAAGTGGATGTCTCCCTGCCTGTAGAACCGAGCACCGGTGTTCCTCAGCTCGATGGAGTCGATCTCACACAGAGCCACGGGGTGAGCCAACACCGTCCTGTACACTGTCGTATCTGTCCGACTGCAATACACACGCATACACACACAGCGTGCATGTAAATAATGCTGTCATAACCACACAAGACCAGACAGAGAAAAACACTTTCAGATAATCAACATTCATCACAGGGGACAGTTATTGCTTTCTCTGTTTATTGCTTAGAATGAATAGACGTACAACAGACTGACATCGCTACATCTCCTGCTCTCACTCTTAGAATCAACAAGGTGGAGCACAAGCTCAAAATTCTATTTTGTTTGTTTTTTTACCCTTTACTTTTCATAATACAAACATATGAACCTAATACTGCAAGTATTGTAAGTACAATGTCAGCGACTTATTAATTCAATCTTGCAATAAAGTAAAAACAGTTGTCTGAACTCAAGTGAAGCTGTGCACAGGCAGGTTTCCTGCCACAGTATCCTGCACCTGGGCTACAGTGAAACCTACAGTACCTCTCCTCCTAAAATAGAAGCTGTCCGCTCAGCCTTTCTGGGAGAGACAAAAAGAAATTACAGAACAAAGTTCTGGGATGAGGGCGCTGCATTGGAATCTGTCAACCAGTGCTGAATAAAGTCTGAAAGAATTCTGTCACTGAATTTTTCTCTATTTAAACTTCTGGTTTGAGGTGAGTTTAGATTTAGCTAATTAATTAGAGTATTATTAGTAGAGTAAAACCTTACTTGGCCTTTGTTCAGTAAGCAATTGTTAATATAAAGAACAACATGACTGACAGTTTTGTTTGAAAAATACCAGCGGTTGCTTATCATTTCCTGTTGATGTAACGGATAAATTGTAAATGTACCAAAGCAGCTGGTAATGTGCAATCTGGCACGTTTGCAGAGAGAACCTTTTTATAATCCTGAGCTGTGGTACACTTCTGGAAAAGCGAAAATGGAGTAAAATGGTGATGTTAACAGATGTGTTACCCACAGCCTGAGCCTCTGCTCTTTCCCCAGGTTCCCTGTCCTCAGTGTCACCTCCACCTCAGCGCTCTTATCCAGGGGAGCAACCTCCAGCTCCAGCAGAATGTGATGAGCTGAGCAGAGGAACAGCAAACACGTATTTAGTACTTATCAACATCTGCCTACTGTCTACCCTTTATTTGATTGATGCCATGAAAATAGAGCACATTGTGAGACATTAACAAAATAATTACCTGTCTTGAAACCTCAACATTTTAAAGAATGCAAAAATCGGTATTTTAACTATCAACATGCACAAATCATTTAGTAGTTTAAAGGACCAGTGTGTATGATTTAGAGGCATCTAGTGAGATTGCAACCAACCAAACTATGGTGGCCACGAAACCCAGTGTTTGGTTTGTCCGCTCTGGGCTACTGTAAAACATGGCAGTTCAAACATGGCGGACTCCACAGAAGAGGCACTACCCCCTCTCTAGATAAAAGCAGCTCATTCTAAGGTAATGAAAACACAATGATTCTTGTTTGCTGATAAACAGCTGATTAGACTATTGAAAACATACCTATAAATATTATATTCCATTTCTGACCAATAGATCCTCCTAAATGTTACACACTGGAGCTTTAAGTTGAAGGACTGTCGCACAGGCTCTGATGAACGTGATGTAGAAAGTTTCTGTGGGAATATGAATATTATCACTAAAATAATCACAGTCTGAGTCTACCCAAAGCTTTGCCTTTCATGGCGAAGTCTTGTCCCCACCATCCAGGGCGCCGTCATGAAACCACAAGTTCTAACATATCTCCCTTTTGGTTTCAGATTTCTTTCTCAAAAGGAGAACACAGGACAAGTGAGTTAAAGAGCAGATATATATATGCTGCAGCAGATAAAGACATACAATTTATGACATCTCTGTAATCATAAGCTCACGTCCAGACAACTTAAACAGCAGACCATTGAATATTAGTGTAAAGCCACTGAGTTCAGCTGGTTGATTGGTCCACCACTTTGGTTCGGATTGAAATATCTATCAACAAATATTGGATAGACTGCTTTATCATTTGGTAAAGACATTCATGGTCCCCAGAGGATGAATCCTAAAGACTACTGTCATCCACAGACTTTTCTTTTAGATTTTAATATCTGCAAATGTCATTAATGGCACTGCACTGAGAAAAAGTTGTCTCTCACATCTGCTGCGGATTAAGACACAACCTCTCTCACAAACGCAGTCAACCACACACACATACACTCTAAGACTCACCGCAAAAAGGTGGTGAAGATGAGGTGAGGAGGAACAACTTCTGCTCTTTGGGAATTGGAGATATGGCTATCCCACTGTTTTCTGATAAACCTGAAAACACACACACACACACGTCACAAATCAAAAGGGCTCCATGTACATTAACTGTCACTGTATCAGCGTGTGTTGGCGTATCAGGGGTTGAAATGATAAGAGGCTGCCAAAGGCTGTTGTGTGACGAGAGCAGGGCTGCTGCATCGACTGGTGACGCTGAGACTGAACAGGGAGTGTAACAAGATGCACAGATTACATTCTTGCTCTTTTATGGTTACTCATCCTGTCTGTCCCTCCCCATCGTAATGAAAACGTCCATTATTGCCACTGTACTCTCCTTGTTTCTGTCGCTGTGATTATGAAGGATGTCGTGTTGTGATTAATTAATTGGATTGAAGCAGTTGTTGATATTCCTGTATGTTATGCTGATTCAGTGCTTCAGTTAAAATAGAATATCCAATCTGATCGCTCAGGTTTTCAGCAATAATCAATATGAAACTTCTTTAATCAAACCATTCCCTTCGCCAAAATTGAGAATCATAAACTGGGTCAGTCAGTAGTAGTACCAGAGTGAATTTCGTGGTCAAATAGAAAATTATTCATTTAAATAGCTATTTAAGAGCATTCCTCCAGACCCACAACCCTGAAATGAAAGTCTTCAGTATCTAGCTTTTTGTGTCTTACAGTTTTTCGCCCAGAATAATGTGTACAATATAATTCTGCAAATTAGTAATTTAATGAATATAGAATTTTGCCTGATAAATTGAATTGTGTTTTCCAAAATCTACTCAAATAAAGACAACAAAACAAATCTCTGAATAAAACTGCCAGTTTAAATAAACCAGACCAAACCAGAGTGAATCATTACTGATTCCCATTCCTAACTGTAGGGAAGTGCTATATGAACAGTGGTGGGTGAAATATTGTGTACTCAAGTCAAAGTACAGTTATTTAATTATTAATTCTTCTTTATTATCAGCAAAATGTAGTTAAATTATCAAAAGTAAAAAGTAAAAGGTACTTGTTACGCAGAGTGGCTCCTGTCAGAGTAATGAGGTGCAGCTAATTTGAACTGCTTTATATCCTGTTGGGTAGTTTGATTTGCAACAGCAGTGCATCTTACTTTATATATCCAGGGTTGGGCTGGTTACTCAATTTTTTTGATTTATTACTCAAAGTAATGTTATTACTTCACTTAATACTCCCTGCCAACAGCAATTAGTTACTCTACTAGTTATATTACTTTTTCCATAAAATTGGTAATTTTGCCCCAGTTCCCCAAAATTCAGACTTACTCCGGTTTTGTTTGTTAAATTCAAAGTAATAGAATATTTCCAATATTTTCCTCCACGATTACAAAAATTATTCAAGGATGTGATTGGACTGTTGCATTTCAAATAAGAAGAGGGTGACAACAAAAGTAATGTTGAAACTAATTATTTTTTGGGGGTAACTGTAATATCATTACTGTAATGTATTAGTAATTAGTTACAATACTAGTTACTGCGCAAAGTAATCTCAATACTAGTAAGGAGTTACTGCCCAACACTGTTTTTATCCCATATTTAGTTTAACCCCTAACTCCAGATGTCAGATAAATAGAGTAAATGGAGTAAAAAAGTACAATAAGTATACAGTAGCAGAGAATGAAATACTCAAATAAAGTATCTCTACATGAGTATATGTACTTCCCCTCACTAATAGTTGTAGTTGATATGAGCTGTAACAGAAACTGCAATAGTGATGCTGCATTAGCCATCATCAAACACACATATATACAAACACATATATGTATAGTGTATAGGTAGTGGCACTGCAGCAGCAGTACTGGTAGCCACTTGTACTGTAATGTTAGTAGTTTAGGATTAGGACTGCTATTTCACTGCCACTATATTCAGTCACAGCCTTTCTGTGTCAGGCAGACAGACTGGATACTGCAGGCAGCAGCAGCTGGAGGTGTCCTCCAGGTGTTTTCTTACCTATAGTTGGACATCTCCCCTTGAAGACGTCACAGTCCACGCAGTGTCCCTTCAGGAAGTCCTCATAGCTGTGGCACGGGATCCCCATCAACGGGCACGAGCCGTTCAGCGCGCTCATGTAGACATGCAGCGCCCTCATGTGGTCACATATCACATAACCGTACACTGGAAAGTAGACAAGAACTGACAACACACAGAAACACTAAGGCAGCCAGATGTCTGGAGACTGTCATTGTCAAAATTATAGTCATTTAAAAATCTGTCAGATGTAAAGCTGGGTTAAATCTATTCCTGTATAATTCGAATTTTATTCATAACTTCTTGAGGAAAAAGCAAGTAGCCTGAGCTATACTTTAGAGGACAACAGCCACATTTAAAAAGGACAGACGTAGCCGTTCTCTGGCTGTTAGCCCCCACCTTTTAGGTTTTATGGAGTGCTGAACATACTTGAGGCAAACCTTGAGCGGGCACAGCCAGTCTGGTCCTTTCCTCCGTTCAGAAAGAAGTCCACATGACCGACAGGGATGGAAATGCCAAAATCTGATGCAGAAGAACATGTCAAAATATCTTGATTTGTGCAACAAATCAGCAGTCTCCTCAAACACTACCTGTAATGTGACCACTTTGTGTGACATTGCTATTCAACGCTTCTTTGACTTTAAAAAACAAACAAACTTTTATTTGTAGTTCTAGTGTTGCAACACATATTCAATTGCTAATACTAGAGGGAAAATATTCTATTATACACCACGACAACATTACGCTACTCCAGCCTAAAGGGTTTTGGTGAAAATACAATGAATCACTTTATAGTCAGTTAAAGTTGTCTCACAGTCAGAGTCTGTGTGGATGGCATCGACAAACTGAGCGTCAGAGGGGTCCAGCCGGTCGAAGGTGTCAGATCCTTTAAACATGGGCCCGGCAGGGTCAAGGCCTGGATGACAGGGACAAGGATTTAAAGAAAACAGATGGATGAAAGGATGCCATGGCACATTGTTGGAAGATAATTCAGGAGGATTATTTTAGCAAAATGAATAAGTGATGGATTTGCATTCAGTCACCAACCAAAGGAAGCACACATTACTAAAGAATCCCTAACAGAATAATGGCTTCACCTCCCAACCTCTGCAACCATAAATGAATCCTTTTGAAAGCTGGTGATAGTTTGGTCATATTGATTTGATATTTTTGCACCAGTAAATATTTATTTATACTATTTATTTTATCTGTGAAATATATATATTTTTTCAGTTAATGACCAGATTCCAGTCAGCAGCTGTGGCTTCTTTGAATTGCACTTAAATTCGAACCCGCACCAGTCTCCCCACTCAGACAAAAAGACCCGATATAAACAAGCGAACAGTGGCGTATTGTGTTGGCTGGTGTGTTACGAGAACGAGAGGACTGTGCCTGCACAGCTTCAGAGTGGCTCTTATCAAAGTGCCGTTGTCCTTTGAAGAGCCCAGCTAATCTTCCAAGGTCACACTGAACACATTCAGGCTCTGGGAGAGACTCCTGAGCTGCACAGACCTTCACTGTCTGGCCTGTTGTTGTTCTCCCTCTCTCAGCAGACATAGCAGCAGAATAACAGCAGCTGGCACCCTTTTATTTTTCCATTCACCAGCAATACTGTAGAAGTTCTCATGGTTTTGTTATGTATGTAGTAAAGGAGGATGAATCTTTGATCTGAGGTGGAGCACAGGTGTAGCAGGACTGAGACCTGCTCATTCAAACATCTAAATCATTGTTTTTCTTCACACAAGCAGAAAACAAACAGAGCAGTGTGTGTCTCCAGTTCAATTTTACATTGTGAGAAATGTCCTCAGAGAAGACCTGAGTGGAGGTGGGTCGGACTCACCTGTGATTCTTCCTATCTTCCCCTCAAAAAGAGTTCCCACGAAACCAGCAACGTGGGCCCCAAGACTGACCCCGATGAAGTGGAAGGACTCTAGTTGACATCCATGATTCTGTTGGACAAGACAGGCCCAACTTTAGTAATTTTTTATTTTAACATGAGATTCTCTCAAGTATTACACATATTATATAGTGCTGAATTACTGTTATTGTGTATGTGTCACAGGTTGAGAAATGCAGNNCTAGGATGACTTCAGTAGTTTATTTTATGAAACAACAAAGCAACTAGAAAGAAAGCAATCAGGATTAACTGATGCTGAAACAAGGGAGCCAACATAACAAGACACAGGTGAAAGTAATCAGGGTGGGGCAGACAATGAAAACTGAAGGGAAAACAGACAA